CGCGCCAGATCCTGCAGCCATTTTCCAGGCCTTGCACTGCCAAGGTAGCTGGTTCTTGCGTGTCGCACGTTGTGATCAACCTAGTCAAGAGTGCACTTGTGCCGTATGGTGCCGCGCTGGCTGTACACATTAGTAAGTTGCTATTGTTTTAACAGTACATTCAGTTATTACTGTATTTGCTAACGATTATGTATATTATGTCCTTGGTTTTATTTAAACAATTTCAGCAACAAAGGAATGTATTGTGTTTCTGTCTTATTATAGAGTTGGTTGGTCGTTACTAGAAAAGTCATTCAAAACGGACGATGTAATGTGAATGTAGCGCCACTCTGTGGCTAAATAGCAACAGCTCAGCATGGCCTAGCACTTCATCTTCATTGAGGTTTAACGGCATTTGGCATCCAATAAATGTTGCATTACCGCCACCTACTAGACTGGAGTACAACTCCCTTACACTTTGCTTGAAAAAATAAATAAATAAACAAATACCCTACCATCTAACGCTACACTCACAAAAAATAAACAATAACACCACCCTACTCCACTATTTAAATCTATTTAGTCCTACCTCAGGCCAACAACCTGAAATAATGGGACAACACCACCTAACACACCCTGTAACTCTTCTGATGTCAAGTCTCGCACAACCAAATACCTCTCTGCAGCTGCCACCACAACCTCAGTTTTCTGCGACTTACGTTCCATCCCTGCAGTACAGTTGATAACCATTGCTATAAATGCTAAAAATCCAATCTTACTGAAACATATATCACTTATTGGCCTATCCCTCTGTACTGGTACAGATTTACTGCTCACACCACTCTTCTCATAATCCCTCCCCCTTGACCCATCTTCCTCTACTTTCTTCACTGCCTCAGCATATGACAACTTCTGCACTACTCTAATCCTGGAAACCTCAACCTGCCTCTCTCGCACGGGACATTTCTGATCCCCAGCCCCATGGGCACCCCTACAATTAACACATACCACTACTTTCCCCAATGCTACACATTCCTTTGTCTCATGCCCTTCTGCACACTTCTCACACCTAGGAACCTCCCTCCTACACACTGTTGCCACATGCCCATAAGCTTGACACCTGTAACAACGTAATGTATTTGGCACAAAAGCTCATACAGGATAACTTATTAGTATCCTATCCTATATATAAAGTATCCTAACATCACTTTGTCAGGCAAAGACTCAACTATCAAAACTCAAAAGAACAGACAATGACTCTTCTGTTTCACCACTCACGCCACCCTGTCTGCGTCGCACCAAACGATGAGCATCACAAACACCGGGAATCTTCCCCTTCAGTTGGTCAACTTTCACATTTACTGCTACCCCAGTAATCACTCCTTTCAATGGCACCCTTTTCTTGATCGCAAAACAATTCACATCTCTTGCCCCCATTCGTTTAACACGGAGCGCCTGCTCCCTCTGACCAGCAGAAACATAAACAATTATCACAAGACCACTTCTGGTTACCCTCACCGATTCCACAGCACCCAACTCTGTTTTCACCCACCCTGAAACCACAAATGGATCAGCCAAAAGGCAAGGGTCCACTTTTTCCAAAAACTTCACTCCTACTGTCCTAGACTCATCTTTATCCTGACCCTCGGTGCAAGCCTCGGGCTCCGAGAACTTCACCACACCTACCACCTCCGATACTTCGCACTCATTCACTTTCATTTCTCCTCCTGTCTTCAGCTCACTCTGTTTATACTTTCTACCATTCTTCTTTAACAAACCATCTCCCTTTTTTCTGCCATTTTTAACCGACTCAAGCTCACCGTCTTCCTCCCTCTCTCTCTTAGACCTCCTCTGCCTCTCTTTTTCCCTCCATATTCCAAGTAACCATCTCCTTATGATAATACTGCCATACATCTTGATCTTGCCTTCTCAAGGGACACCATTTAACCAGCTGTCACAATCTCCGTACAATCAGCCGGCCTCATGGCCTGTCACTATAACCATGCTGTAACTAAAACCGTACACAGGTCTTTTCTCTTTTTTTTTTTGCTAAACTCTTGCGTCCTCTCTCCTCTAATCTCACCTCTTTTTGAAAAAGGTCAACGGTATTCAAGGAGAGGTGGCAAGGAGAGGGAACATGGACGAAAATGCTTAGGCTAGGAATGGAGCTAGGAAGGGAAAGGAGGAAAGGAAAAGGAGCTAGTATAGGTAATAGTATCCATTTTTAGTGAATGGCCACTTTTAGTGACAGGCCATGCTATAGGACTACAGCTGGATACTTAAGCAATAAGGACCGAGGGGGTGTGGTATATGGCCAACATACTATAGCACGGCTAAGGGCTGTTATTAGGCACGACGCAATGCGAAGTGCCTGGATACAGCCCTTAGCCATGGTATAATGGCCATATACCACAAACCCCCAAGGTGCCTTATTGCTATTATCAACTGGTTACCAACATAATTAGAACAGTAGAAATACATGTTCTGTCATACTCTTGGTATACCACAGCTTTCAGCCAATCAGCATTCAGGGCTCCAACCAGGTGGTTTATAATATAGATTTGCTCTGGCTTTAAAGGGCCTATCCACAGTTGAAACAATATATACAGTGGTTGTATACATTTACAATGTTTACAAACATTGGAGTAAAACAAGCTTATATTTTAGATTCCGATGGGGTGTGACAATTGAACTAAGCTCATGGGGCATTTAAAAGTTATATTGTTCAAGAATCAATGGGGTATACATAATTAATTTATCAATCCAAAAAGAAAATGTAGCATCTGCAGATTGCCCCTTTAATCCATTGTTAGGATGAGTACAGGTGGCTGACATCATCCTCTGAAAAAAGTAGGACAAGTACAGGTGACTGACAGCTTGACACCAGTCACCTGTACTCATCCTAACAATGGAATAAAGCTTGAGCAAATAAGAAATTAATCTCTGCCTTATTTGTTGAGTGCGCCAACTAATTTCTGCCTCAAATTACCAGTAGTCCCTTTGGAAGTTTTTCTTGGTAAGCCATTCTGTTGGATTTTTGTCATTGTTGTCGAGCATCCCTTCTTTCTTGCTGTAGCCTGGAGGCCTACCTGAACTCTCATGTAGCATGGCCACAGTCAATTCAATCACTTCAGATGTTCAGGGAAACAATTTGAATTTATGTGGCAGATGTCAAGTTCTGATGAACCAAAACGTTACTTTGTTTTAGCAAAAAGGTACAATTTATCAAAAACAATTTAGGTCTCAAACAATTATATATAAAATATGAAGCACAAGTACATTGTGTGTAACCAAAACACAATTATATTATGCCCAACCCAAAAATGTGATTGAGGGTATTGAGTTAAAGGTAGGAAGAGAGGAGGCAAAGGAAATTGATTGAATAAAGGAAGACAACATAAAACAGCGAAGTATCCTTCTCAGCCCAACCATTTGTCCTCTTTTGATAAAAGAGAACATGTGCAAAACATAGGCCAGGCCCTCCATACACCAAAAACATCACATGAAATTGCAATATTTCATCAAGGGAAATATCAAAATAAACAACTTCACAACAGGCTGATGTTTGAACAACTTTTAGGAAGGGTTGTGCATTGTCTCAACACAGTTACCTGTATTTACTACTGCAGTGATCGCTCTATTGTCCTCGACCTGGGCCTTTCCTTGGCATGGTTAAGAACAATAACACATACTACCAGTATGGTAATCACCCCCAAGCCATAAGACTGCTACATAGTCAATTAATGGCACCCAAATTATCTGCACTGACTATCTTGCACTGACCCTACGCACACTCACTAGAGTATATATACAAACACACACACACTACATTGACACTCCCAGTCAAAACCCCACACACATTCACAAAATGTTGATTTGATTTTGATCATGTGATGTTTCGATTGTCCTGTATTAGGCTTAACTGTTGTTTAAGAAATACAATCTTAAAGTCGGTAGATCAAATCATTACCCAACTATTCTTTGTTTCCTGCCTACTCCCATCTAGGTAGTTACAACTCAAGAGAGACTCTCTGAAAGTAGCCAGGGATAAAGAGTCATTCAACATGAATGATATTTGCTAAGCAAAAACATTGTGGTTCAAATACCCAATGGCCTAATGAAAGGTTTTACGTATTTTCTCCCAATCCAATAGAAACACTCCTAGAAGATTCAAAATTATTTGTGTTTTGCGTCATCACAATAGTAACATTTATCAATAAGGTACAATTTCCTTTGTTATCAAATGTAAAATACTCATGTGCACAACAGTTTTGCAAATGACGTAATCCTCCAAATGTTTTTCTTTTCACACCATAGAAAACCTGACATCAAATGTATCAAAAAATAAAGGATGATAAATGTATTCTATCAAAGAAATCATGTTAGAAAGCATTAAGCCAATTAATATGTAATCCCTGGCTCTAGTCTGCATCCAGGTTTTTCAAGCAGACCCTTTCGAACAGACCTATTTTATAGACCTATTTTATGAGTAATACCTTAAATCTAACAGTTATGTCTCCTCTCGTAGTTCTTAGTGGTTGCTGTCATTACAGTTGTATGCTACTGGGGTAGTTAGTATTCACTGAGGTGGATTTAGTCAATAGTTACATTCAACTGTGGCTAACAGACTCTGCAGATTGTGTAATAAAAGCAATGGTTTTGTTGCCACTTGTTGGCAGAGGTTTAGTGCCAGTTGTATGGCATGGTTTACAATAATCAGGTGGTATAGAAAGCCTTATACCTTCAGCTGCCTTTTTCACGGTCCCCTGTGCTGCATCAGCTAAAGGATTAACAGGTTCTTGTAATGTTTTTCATTGTATTGTCCATTGTAGTGTTTTAAGCTTTACTACTATTGATAACTTTATCATAACTAACTGAGTTGATGTTGTGGTCCTTTGTAGCTCAGCTGGTAGAGCACGGCGCTTGTAACGCCAAGGTAGTGGGTTCGATCCCTTGGACCACCCATACACAAACATTTATGCACGCATGACTGTAAATCGCATTGGATAAAAGCGTCTGCTAAATGGCATATTATTATTATTATGTTAGGTTAAAAGGTATTCCATAAATCTTGAGCGATGTTCTTTTCTTTTATATTTCTGCATAGTGTATTTCATGTGATTGTATGTCTATTTTTGTTGAAAATCTTCATTCATATCAGTAATCAGTATAAAAAAAGAACAAATTTGAAAAATGAAACCACTGCTTTATCACATCAACCATAAAAAAATATTCCCAAGTACATTTCGGTTTGTAAAAAAATAAATCACTCTCCAACACAGACAAAAGTGGACGAAAGATGGTCAAAAGGTGCAATGACTTCAGAGTTCAGTTTTATGTCCTCCACGCCGGCTCTTGTTTAATAGACCTCCGTAATGTGGGGATAGACTGACTCCTCCTTTGGGTTTCCACTGATGTAATATCTGTCTCTATCTTCACTGTGCCAGGCCCGCTGTGGCACCTCCGTGGCTGATGTCCATGGAGGGAGAGCTGATGTGAGTGAAAGACCAGGAGGGTGGAGGAGACACGGCTGTCTTGTGTGGCTGGGCTACCACATGCAGAGCAAGGTGAAATGTCAAGCCTCTTATTTCCCTTTCTTCTCCTGCTGACAGTCAGACATGACGGGTTATAGGTATCTGTGCTCAAAGGGCTAGAGTTTCGTGAGGCCATTTCCTGGTAGTTGTCCTCGCACTGCAGGCGCTTGCAGCTGGGTGGGGCGGCATTGGGGAAGTCAGAGTCCAACCAGCTAAGCTTGCGCTTCTGATGGAGCAAGAGTGAAGAAAAACAAATGAGATACAAGTCTTACTTATAGACTGCTGTGAGAATCATTATGACAATGATATATTAAACAGCGATAACTAGAGCAGTAAGAGACCCACCTTGACTGGCATGCACAGCTGATTTTGGTGCCATCGTGGAGGAAGACTGGGTGTGGGGTTCTGGGTGGCAGCGACAGGGGTCACATGGGGGAACCACATCTTCAGCATCATCTCTACCTGCAGGAGGGTGCGGAGGAATTTTTTTCTGTGGAAAGAGAGGAGTACTGTCATTAATAATATTTTACAACATTAAGCATTTAAAGTAAATTTGTAACTACACCATAAATTACTGTTTGCTTGATTACTTGCTATACACAAGATGGTTTGGTTTGCTTACCCCATGTCAGGTTTCTGAAGAATACCCAGGATCCTCTGGAGTCTGTCGATGGCAACGCTCGACTGGAAACTGCTAAGACCTCTCTCAAATCTCCCCGTCTTGAGTCCATTCAGAAGCTCCAACAGGGGTCTGATAAACCTTTGCAGCTCTGAACACTAGGAGAGAAAAGGGAAACAGAAAACATTAATATCCACTGTCTGATAATGTTCCTGGAATGCGAGAATCATTAACTCAGTATATTCAAATCAGTCAAACAACAAAACTCACTTTCTGAGCGAAGGCCAAGTCTCCTTGCGTGGTCTCCTCTGTGCTTCCCTTTGTGCTTAACGTAGCACTGCCAGGGGAAGCCACCATGGATGGGTAGGTGGTGGTGTGGGGAAAGCATTCCGCTTTTGCACTCCCAGCCATGGACCAGTGTAACCTAGGGGCTGCCTCGCCACCCCTGGCCAGGGAGAAGGGTACTGAGCAGTTCTTGCCACCCCCTGAGCTATCTCCCTCACTTTCGGAGGTGAAGATATCAATGTCTGCCTCGTCCTCTGTCACGTCGCTCTCACTGAGGAGGAAGCTGGGGGTGGAGGAGCGGGAGTCGTAGGTTGGCCATTTGGTAGACATGTTCAACAAATGCATCCCTAGAGAAAGAGAGAGAGAAGTCAGTCACAAGGAATATCAGCAATATCTCAGAGTAACTGATGTAGAGATAATGGTGACCTAGGCATTAGAACAAGTGCTGCATGTAGTAAAAACACTTTAACACAATGACAGGCATTTCTATATCACAATTTAAATAAAAACTATTAATAAAAAACAATAACAATGCAAATTCAGGGTTTTCACATCATGTGCCAGAAAACTAGTAGGTGTGTCCACTAATAAATATTCAAGGAATGCTGTTAGTCACTGATGTTGGTACAAACTCCACCAGCTGTTGTTTTGTTATACATGTGAACATGTGCTGTGTGGGGGTGTGACGCACACGGTCCTGTGGCGTTTGACTGTATGGCTCTAGGATTTTATGTCAGCTATTAGTTACATTTCAAACATCTGATCTGACCATTTTAACATCAAACTAATTGACTATCCTGAAACAAAATGACAGCGGCTGCATTATACACTACATTGTTTCACGCATTATAATGTTGTGAATGTTTCTCATAAACTCCCTATGAGTTTACTTCAATTTGAGTCTATACTGTATGAAGCGCTTACATTATATATATATATATATATACACAACATACATAGACAACTGTAACGACATTAACTGATTCCAGGTCGGTTTGAGGCGTTAGCCAAGATGGAAAGGAAAGGTGATCCTGAACCAGCGCATACTTAAAGCACAACCAATAATGATGATACTTTTTGCTTAAATATTCTAACCAACAGCGCACGTTTGAAAGTTCAAAGCTAGTTAAAATAGAACTGGGAAACAAATATGTATAGAAAAACATAAGTTACAGTAGGCTATAGCCTACGATATATATATCTTACCTTTCAGTATGAAGCCGATGCGAAGACAATTCAATAAAACAGTCAAATGGATAACTAGTTGAATAACTGCTATTCCTTCTCCAATTGCAATTGTAAGAATATCTTATTTTAAAAACCTAATGATAAACACTGATGTTGATGGCGCGCTGTAGTTTTACGAGTCCTCTGTTCTCAACGTCTCAGTACTGTTTCCTCCTTTCCCTCGTTTTAGAGTCCGTTTACCTTTCAAAGTCCTCAGTACAGCGAGGGGCAACATGTGAATCGCTACCATGCGCTACACGTGCTGAACTACGTGCTCGGCCGTGGTTGGTTAGCACATGGTACAAAGCGCTCTCATTGGTTGAGAATATAACCACTCAGTGACTCCATAAATACTGATTGGCCAGTAACTGTTACTCGTCATGCCTCTCTCACTGCACGTGTGAGACGTGTGGAGGGCTGTGGCTGTATAGTACAGTAGTCAACAAGCGAAAACACGAGGCAGTAACCACACGGGTTAAACAGTGTGGCATTCTCCTAATGAAGCACTGACTAGTCACTAGAAGGTGCTAACGGTTTCGGACCACATGTGGAGAACACCGGACAACAACTGATGTCATCAACTAGGATCAGCTTGACGCACCAGAGCTATATGTATACTGGGACAATTCATAATTGGATTATGGTAGAGTTCTAGGCTGATGACCAACTACTAGACAGTAAATACAATTTTGTTCTAGTGGGGTAAGCATGCATATTCTGCATTTGTCCAAAACTGCCATGCATGTATTGCTCCCCAAAATGTATCATTTAGTGCAACTTTGTTAATTAGTGTAGATAAATTATTCCCTATAATAGCCATTTATTTATATTTTTTGGATGATCCAACCATTCTTAAAACATGTATCATTTGATCTATAAATGTATGCACTCACTAACTGTAAGTCGTTCTGGATAAGAGTGTCTGCTAAAATGTATAAAATGTAAAACATATGCATATTGACGCCGCATTCACATTTCTTCACACTCTTCACATACGCTGCTGCTGCTCTCTGTTTATTATTGATTTATAGTCACTTTACCCCTACCTACAGTGAGGGAAAAAAGTATTTGATCCCCTGCTGATTTTGTATGTTTGCCCACTGACAAAGACATGATCAGTCTATAATTTTAATGGTAGGTTTATTTGAACAGTGAGAGACAGAATAACAACAAAAAAATCCAGAAAAATGCATGTCAAAAATGTTATACATTGATTTGCATTTTAATGAGGGAAATAAGTATTTGACCCCCTCTCAATCAGAAGGATTTCTGGCTCCCAGGTGTCTTTTATACAGGTAACGAGCTGAGATTAGGAGCACACTCTGAGTGCTCCTAATCTCAGTTTGTTACCTGTATAAAAGACACCTGTCCACAGAAGCAATCAATCAATCAGATTCCAAACTCTCCACCATGGCCAAGACCAAAGAGCTCTCCAAGGATGTCAGGGACAAGATTGTAGACCTACACAAGGCTGGAATGGGCTACAAGACCATCGCCAAGCAGCTTGGTGAGAAGGTGACAACAGTTGGTGCGATTATTCGCAAATGGAAGAAACACAAAATAACTGTCAATCTCCCTCGGCCTGGGGCTCCATGCAAGATCTCACCTCGTGGAGTTGCAATGATCATGAGAACGGTGAGGAATCAGCCCAGAACTACACGGGAGGATCTTGTCAATGATCTCAAGGCAGCTGGGACCATAGTCACCAAGAAAACAATTGGTAACACACTACGCCGTGAAGGACTGAAATCCTGCAGCGCCCGCAAGGTCCCCCTGCAGATGCTCTTATCCATAGCGACTTACAAATAGGTGCATTTTCTTTTCTTTTTTTTTTGTCTATTTATTTTTTTCACCTTTATTTAACCAGGTAAGCCAGTTGAGAACAAGTTCTCATTTACAACTGCGACCTGGCCAAGATAAAGCAAAGCAGTGCGATAAAAACAACAACACAGAGTTACATATGGGGTAAAACAAAACATAAAGTCAAAAATACAACAGAAATAAATATATATACAGTGTGTGCAAATGTAGCAAGTTATGGAGGTAAGGCAATAAATAGGCTATAGTGCAAAATAATTACAATTAGTATTAACACTGGAATGATAGATGTGCAAGAGATGATGTGCAAATAGAGATACTGGGGTACAAATGAGCAAAATAAATAACAATATAGGGATGAGGTAGTTGGGCGGGCTAATTTCAGATGGGCTGTGTACAGGTGCAGTGATCGGTAAGGTGCTCTGACAACTGATGCTTAAAGTTAGTGAGGGAGATAAGTGTCTCCAGCTTCAGAGATTTTTGCAATTTGTTCCAGTCATTGGCAGCAGAGAACTGGAAGGAATGGCGGCCAAAGGAGGTGTTGGCTTTGGGGATGACCAGTGAGATATACCTGCTGGAGCGCATACTACGGGTGGGTGTTGCTATGGTGACCAATGAGCTAAGATAAGGCGGGGATTTGCCTAGCAGTGATTTATAGATGGCCTGGAGCCAGTGGGTTTGGCGACGAATATGTAGTGAGGACCAGCCAACAAGAGCGTACAGGTCACAGTGGTGGGTAGTATATGGGGCTTTGGAGACAAAACGGATGGCACTGTGATAGACTACATCCAATTTGCTGAGTAGAGTGTTGGAGGCTATTTTGTAAATGACATTTTAGTCAAGGATCGGTAGGATAGTCAGTTTTACGAGGGCATGTTTGGCAGCATGAGTGAAGGAGGCTTTGTTGCGAAATAGGAAACCGATTCTAGATTTTACTTTGGATTGGAGATTCTTAATGTGAGTCTGGAAGGAGAGTTTACAGTCTAACCAGACACCTAGGTATTTGTAGTTGTCCACATACTCTAGGTCAGACCCGTCGAGAGTAGTGATTCTAGTCGGGTGGGCGGGTGCAAGCAGCGTTCGGTTGAAGAGCATGCATTTAGTTTTACTAGTGTTTAAGAGCAGTTGGAGGCTACTGAAGGAGTGTTGTATGGCATTGAAGCTCGTTTGGAGGTTTGTTAACACAGTGTCCAATGAAGGGCCAGATGTATACAAAATGGTGTCGTCTGCGTAGAGGTGGATCTGAGAGTCACCAGCAGCAAGAGCGACGTCATTGATATACACAGAGAAAAGAATCGGCCCAAGAATTGAACCCTGTGGCACCCCCATAGAGACTGCCATAGGTCCAGACAACAGGCCCTCCGATTTGACACATTGAACTCTATCAGAGAAGTAGTTGGTGAACCAGGCGAGGCAGTCATTTGAGAAACCAAGGCTATTTAGTCTGCCAATAAGAATGCGGTGGTTGACAGAGTCGAAAGCCTTGGCCAGGTCAATGAAAACGGCTGCACAGTACTGTCTATTATCGATCGCGGTTATAATATCGTTTAGGACCTTGAGCGTGGCTGAAGTGCACCCATGACCAGCTCGGAAACCGGATTGCATAGCGGAGAAGGTACGGTGGGATTCGAAATGGTCGGTGATCTGTTTGTTAACTTGGCTTTCAAAAACTTTTTACGAAAGAGAGGTTGAACAGGCTAGTAATAGGGGTTGCGACAATTTCGGCGGCTAGTTTTAGAAAGAAAGGGTCCAGATTGTCTAGCCCAGATGATTTGTAGGGGTCCAGATTTTGCAGCTCTTTCAGAACATCAGCTGTCTGGATTTGTGTGAAGGAGAAGCGGGGGGGGGCATGGGCAAGTTGCAGCGGAGGGTGCAGAGCTGGTGGCCGGGGTAGTGGTAGCCAGGTGGAAAGCATGGCCAGCCGTAGCAAAATGCTTGTTGAAATTCTCGATTATTGTAGATTTATCGGTGGTGATAGTGTTTCCTAGCCTCAGTGCAGTGGGCAGCTGGGAGGAAGTGCTCTTATTTTCCATGGACTTTACAGTGTCCCAAAACTTTTTGGAGTTAGTGCTACAGGATACAAATTTCTGTTTGAAAAAGTTAGCCTTTGCTTTCCTAACTGCTTGTGTATATTGGTTCCTAACTTCCCTGAAAAGTTGCATATCGCGGGGGCTATTTGATGCTAATGCAGTACGCCACAGGATGTTTTTGTGCTGGTCAAGGGCAGTCAAGTCTGAGGAGAACCAGGGGCTATATCTGTTCTTAGTTCTGTATTTTTTGAATGGGGCATGTTTATTTAAGATTGAGAGGAAATTACTTTTAAAGAACAACCAGGCATCCTCTACTGACGGAATGAGATCTATATCCATCCAGGATACCTGGGCCAGGTCAATTAGGAAGGCCTGCTCGCTGAAGTGTTTTTGGGAGCGTTTGACAGTGATGAGGGGTGGTCGTTTGACCGCGGACCCGTTACGGACGCAGGCAATAAGGCAGTGATCGCTGAGATCCTGGTTGAAGACAGCGGAGGTGTATTTAGAGGGTAAGTTAGTCAGGATGATATCTATGAGGGTACCCATGTTTACGGATTTAGGGTTGTACCTGGTAGGTTCGTTGATAATTTGTGTGAGATTGAGGGCATCTAGTTTAGATTGTAGGATGGCCGGGGTGTTAAGCATATCCCAATTTAGGTCACCAAGCAGTACGAACTCTGAGGATAGATGGGGGGCAATCAATTCACATATGGTGTCCAGGGCACAGCTGGGGGCTGAGGGGGGTCTGTAGCAAGCGGCAACAGTGAGAGATTTATTTCTGGAAAGGTGGATTTTTAGAAGTAGAAGCTCAAACTGTTTGGGCACAGACCTGGATAGTATGATAGAGCTCTGCAGGCTATCTCTACAGTAGATTGCAACTCCACCCCCTTTGGCAGTTCTATCTAGACGGAAAATGTTATAGTTGGGGATGGAAATTTCAGAATTTTTGGTGGCCTTCCTAAGCCAGGATTCAGACACTGCTAGAACATCAGGGTTGGCGGAGTGTGCTAACGCAGTGAATAACTCAAACTTAGGAAGGAGGCTTCTGATATTTACGTGCAGAAAACCAAGGCTTTTACGGTTACAGAAGTCAACAAATGATAGCTCCTGGGGAGTAGGAGTGATACTGGGGGCTGCAGGACCTGGGTTAGCCTCTACATCACCAGAGGAACAGAGGAGGACTAGAATAAGGATACGACTAAAGGCTTTAAGAACTGGTCTTCTAGTGCGTTGGGTACATAGAATAAAGGGGGCAGTTCTCCGGGCGTTGTAGAAAAGATTCAGGGCATTATGTACAGAAAAGGATATGGAAGGATATGAGTACAGTTGAGGTAAACCTAAGCGTTGGGTA